GTAATTAAATAATTATCATATTAAGGCAATCCAAAATTCGAGTTTTTACTTTTTACTAACGAGTACTTTGCACTCGATTGCCAGAGTACAAATAATATAGATTTTTGTTTAGGGAAAATATTTTCTTGTAGCCCTATAATTCCCAACTAGTTCTAGTGAAGACTGTAAGGTATGTCTTCTAATTTAGAGTCATTTAGAGTATTTCTTACCGGTGGAGCAGTGGGTGTAGTGTATGTGTAGTGTATGTGTAGTGTATGTACCGGTGTATGTATGTATGTATGTACCGGTGTATGTATGTATGTATGTACCGGTGTATGTATGTATGTATGTATGTATGTATGTATGTATGTATGTATGTATGTATGTATGTATGTATGTATGTATGTATGCATGTATGTATGTATGTATGTATGTATGTGTGTGTGTGTGTATGTATGTATGTATGTATGTATGTATGTATGTATGTATGTATGTATGTATGTATGTATGCATGTATGTAGTGTATATGTTACTTGCACAAAGTAGTAAAAACTGTCTTAATTAAAGCCAGAAGAATGTTTAACTTACTGGCGGAACACATAGTTATTGCCGCTTTTAATATTTGCTTAGGAAAAATATTTTCTTGTAGCCCTATAATTCCCAACTAGTTCTAGTGAAGACTGTAAGGAATGTCTTCTAATTTAGAGTCGCAAAATAGTTCAAGTCGAGCAGTGAGTGTTCTTAAGTGTGATTACTTGCAAGATCAAATTGGCATCCCTCTTGAACAATTCATACAAGTGTTTGAATTGTTATAATATTTATTTTAAATTATTTATTCATACGCGTTACGCATTTTATTATTCTAGTGTCTTTGGTTGAGCGTACTATCATGACAAATATACTCGTATTTATATATTTCCTATTTGTGTATTGAAAATTTGTTATTCTTCTTCTGTCATCATGTTCACTAAATTAATACGTTTTCGTTGAAAATGCGTAATTAATTTGGGCGGCTTGTTTGGCTTCTTTTTCTACTTTTAAAGAAAATCGAATCCCTAATTAGCCACTTAATTTCATTTAATTAATTTCAGTCTAATTTTCAACCCCAATGGGGAATACAAGTCCAAAGCCGACCGACTAGTTAGGCAGATATAAGAAGAGATTTTTGGGCAGATGATATTTCATCTGCATAATTATGCATTTTAGACCCACCGATTATGTATAAGACTAATGCTCCAAGGTCGGATTTGTGTGGTGGTCTTTTGTTGATGGAAAGTTAATCTGCATCGATTGAGATGAATTTTTAAGCGATGAACTTGCCTTTGTATTTGCTTGGAATGTTTAGGTTTTCTTTGTGAAATGAGTTCAAAAAAAGATCTTTGATTGCAGATATCAGTGGTTTATGGATTTAGTGGAACGAAATGTGAAATTAAAACTTTTTCGACTGTTAAATGAGCGGAATGAAATGCATCTCATGCCAATATTTTATTTTGAAAATTATTACGTGAATGAAATTTAAAGTGAAACGTTACACTTTTTTTCGAAAATATTTAATGAGCCAACAAAAAACTAAGAAAGCGAGTTGTATATTTGCAAACCAAAAACTTATACTATATAGTTTTAGAAGACAAAAGAGTATGTAGACAACACATTGAAAGTGGATATAGCAAAATCAATCACGAATTAATCTTTTCAGAACCGAAATCTTAAGAGTCCATAAAAATGTTAATCCAAGATTTATTAGCTCTTATCACCTGTTTTTCATTCCCACCTCGAGTGCCCGCATTATGCAGCAATTATAGCCTAACAAATTGCCCAACTCCGGCCGGCCATATACTCGTAAACTGAAGCGAAGGCGATGCACTAAATTTTTGGGAACTCGAATCCATTGGCTAAATGCTAAATGCAGCCTACAAGCCCGCATTAGTGATCGGCTCTGCCAATTATGGCCAGCGATCTTCTGGACCACGGCTAAAACTACCACATGCGATACGATACGACCACGATGAATGCGACGACCCACAAAAACACTAAAGACGCCAAAGACTGTTTGTCAAAAATGTCTTATGAATGGGAACGTAAGCGGAGTGATCGAGTGAATGAATCAGCTGTGAATGCAGCTGGGGCGTATTGGAAATGAATGAGTTAGCCAGCCGACAGACGAGGTGGCCAGCTTGTCTGGGCCCGATACATTCGTGCGTGGGCTTCCCCCAAAATTGCAAAAAAAATATTGCTTACAAGTACGAAATCCGAATTCGAATCCGAAATCCCGGCGCGGCATTGACTTGGGCGCTCGTCTGGGGGACGCAGATACTCGACGTCTCTTCCACAATGAAATTGTCACTTTTCATTTGCCTCGAATTGGGCTCTGCGGCTCTATAAAATATTATATAGCCGTGCTGCCCACGTTGCAGCGGAAGTGCCATTTGATTTATTCGCATTTGGTGATTTTGATTCTGTTTATTTGCCTCGTGTGAGTGTGTGTGTGTGTTGGCAAATTTCCGGCCTGCTTGACACACATTCGAATTTGCATGTGTCGCACAACTTTGAAGTGCCATAAATATTCATCTACCGCCAGATACATTTGATTCGGTTTTGACTAATGGTGACATTTCACTCAACGATCCACCTCAAGATGGTGTCTTATACATATGGCCCCATATGGCTTGAACTTGTTGTCTTGCCGCCTTTCCAGGAATGTGGGTCAATGCTAAATGGCAGATAAAAGAAAAGACATATGAGTTTAAAGTGGAGTGCAGAAGTAGAGAGTTGAGGCTGTGGATGGTTTAAATGGTCTTTGGTAACTGGAAACAGTGCAGAGAAGGTGCTTAAAATGGAGTTGTAAGGGAGCATAGAACAACTTCTTATAGATGAGAAAAAATATAGTTTCTGTATACCATTGGTTTAAAAAATAAGTGGAAGTTCTCCCATATATCTGTTTAATATGTTATGTTAGTTTTGATAGGCCCTGCATGTTAGGGAAATGAAATAAAATTAAAGATATAAATATATGCCAAATATTAATAAATAAATATAATAATATGGCTTGGTATACCTATATAAGAAATGGCTGATGGAGTTTGTTGCCTTGTGTTTGTCATGAGGCTTTTCCTGAAAAGTGAGCAAAGCGCACTGCTCCACAGATTTTTCCGCTGGCCAGTTGGCAACGCCTCGCTTTTCTTGCCCAGCTTTTTTATTTTATTTTTTATTTTTTCTATTTTGTTGGATTTTTCCGCAGGCTACGCTTAGGTAACTCTTCTCAGCCGAACTCAGCTCACGTTTTCACGAACTGCCAGCGAGCGCATCAAAGTGCAGAATCTCACGAAATTTGCCATTCGAGCGGGCATTTGGGTTATTTATGGTCGCCGATTTGTTTGCGACTCATTTAGCCGGACAGCTCTCGCGGTTTTATGACACATTTAACAGTTTGTTTCTGGGTTTACTTTACAATTCGCTGGACAAGCCTTTCAAGAAAAAAAGGCTTAAAAAAAGTTAACGCATAACTGCAAGCAACGAGAAAGGAATAAGAAACCTCCAATTTCACGCCTATTTGATTTGTTTTCGCTTGTTTTTAACATTTTGCTGTTCTTCTTGTGAGCCAGCACCTTTCTCTTCCCAAAAATGTTTTTTCCCTTATTTTGTCACCTTTTGTTAAAGACTCCTATACTTTCATATACCCACTGATTCCCCAGAATAATGCAAATTTGAGTGCACAGGAATACCGGCGTAATTATAGTTCGCTTCGATTCACTTCCGACTGTCGGGAAGCTGACTCATTGCAAAAGCAACGATGACAAACACTATCCACACAAATACCGCTCTCAACATAACAACAATGGCAACCATGACCCACGCAAATTGTTAACAACAAAAGGCGAAAATTGACTAGCAACCAGAAAACGTGTAATAAAGTAACAAAAATTATAACACAACACTTTCTACCCACGCAGTGAACTTGAAAATGTTTTATCGAAACAAAGCCCTTCAAAACGATCAGGTTTGAAACACAATACAGCATTTATGATAGAAGCAATTATAAAACATAAACAAAATAAAATCCAAAGTCAACGCAATTTACAAAAAAAATATTTTGCCTTAACTTTGAACAATGGAAAGCTGCCGTGGTGGAAAGATAATGTTCCATATCACTGAAGAATCATCTCTACTGCACTCGCAGAAATATTTCAGATATATTCAATAAAATTTATCTCTAGTATTGCTCTTAAATGGTAACAAAATATTTTAAAAATTGTAATAACAATACAATATCCTTTCTCTGGGATTTAAAGTTAGAGGTATTTAAAATCGTATCTGAACTACCCAAGTTTTAAGCCAAGTGTGGGCTCTATTCTGGCTCTTTTGCTGAAACCTAATTGAGGCTGCAAAAAGCTGTCGATTGTGGTCGTACTGGTGGTCAGTGGTGCTTGGCATTTTTTCCTTGGTGGCCAATGGTAAATGGTAATGGTAATGGTAAATGGCCCATGGTCCGTTGGGCGCTCACTTCAGGCATGAATTGATTTGGTCTGGGTCCGAGTCCAGTTGGTCTGTCAATCAATTGTAATGAATACGCATTTTTCTATTGGAGCTCGGCGGGAGTGTTATCCCCCCGCCTCCCCCATCACTGCCCCGCTGGGTCAGTTGTTTCTCCACTTGACCCTGAGCTGTCCAATCGGTGGGGCGAAACCCCATTTGGAAAAAGCCTGACCTGCCCTGCCAAACAGAGGATTACTTTTACTATAATTTCATATTATTCATTCGAAAACTAGTAATTTTAAATGGGCCTGCAATTGACAGTTGCAATTATTTCAATTTATTTTTAATGCAGCATTACCTCAATGAATTCTACAATTCCAAATTTTGATCTGACACTGAAATGTGGCATTTATTTTGGTGATTTTTAAGAGAGTTTCCTCGTTTCTCTGCTAAATGGGGCGCTGCTTTTACATTTCTAACTCATTTGCAGGCACATTTCTGAATAATCTTTTCTGAATAGCTTTTGTTTCACAGTAGAACAAGAGAAGCGCGTGACCCTTTGTTTTGACTTTATTCATTTTATTTATATGAGAAACCAGTTTCTCATATATTTTCACTGAACTTAAGTTTAGGGCTTCACGGTTATTGTTTTGGATATGGAATCTTCTTTTCGTATTGCGTAGTATGGCAGCATTTCCAGGGTTTTGGACAGATATCAATATCACCTTCATCAAGTTCCATCCATTCCATACAAACGATATTCCAATGAGTGTGGTTTCTCCATTTCTCGTCCACGCAGGACCCACCGTTATTGCAACCTTAGAGTTTTAATCTCCATAAGAGTGATTAGTGATTTAAATAGATTTACCCTTTAGAAAAGAACAATTTGTGGTACTTCTGAGAAGCACTAAGCTCAGTATTACCCGTAACAGAATCATTTCTGAAAGAAATGCACTGAAGTGATGTGGAACGCACGAGTGTAGGAAATCGAATTAAAAGGGATTCGATACAGAAAAGAGCTAACCGCCATTATAATAGCTATGCAAACTTTTAATACATCACATTACAAGGCAAATAAGGTGTTCTAAACTGTTTAAGGATGCATTTTCGCATTCGTTCTTCAATCATATTGTTCTGAACTTTGATGGCTGAGCATTCGCGTTCTGAGATTCCCACATTCCTCTGAGAACCACTTTACTACTTATGCACTTACAAATTTGAATTTGTGGCTAACCCGCCGTAACTACGGCTATCATCGTTCCGCATTCCAAAAGGCATTCCGCTGGGATCGCTTCGGTTAGGGAAAACAAACCGCAAATTGAATTAGGCCCGAGTTGGGTACTAAGAAAATAATTTGCAAAGAAATTACATAAAGGAAAACAAGTGCCAACACAACCCCGCAGTCAGATGCAGACACGCAGATATATCGCCCACACGCCGACTAACATACTCGTATATAGCCGTACGATCCGTGAGATGCGGTTTGCCAATTTAGCAGAAATAAAACGCCCACATGCGACGCAGAAACTTGGAAGCTTTGAGGGGGCAAACCGGCATGCCACCAGCATTTATTTGCGACCAAAAAAGAGAGAGAGGAAAATGCGGCGGAAAATTCAAATCAATTTAGCGCAGACCGCAAGCCTGCAATGGATAAATCCAATGAACAGCAGCCCAGAATTGTGCCGCGCATGCGTAGAAAAAATATGGAAAATAATAGAAAAAGGGATAAATTGCGAAGGGGGGGGAGGCGATCCCAGTAGCTAACCTCGCATAATTTAGCAATTTAGATTTGGTTTTTCCATTGTTGCAGTTAAATGCGAGCTAGAGAGTTCGTTGGACCCCAGAACAGGCTCCATAAATCAGCAGCAGCTGAGATCTTTCCCATTTGGGCCATAATTTACGAGCCAAGAATTGCGAAACTGCATCCACGCAATTAATTTGTTTAATACCCATGAAATTAAGTATATTTCCACGCTCTACAGAACAAGGTGCGTGTCTAAGCCTGATAAATGCATATAAAAATGTAAATGTTTCTACAAGCAAGTACCTCCGGGCAGCCCACACTTTATATCAGATCAACGCCGAATAAGCAGCTGCCTTTTCTTAGAGAAGTTCAAAGAATTGTAGCCAACAGGAAACGATTACATATTCCATATTCTTGCAGGATGTCGTCAATTTGAACGCAGCTAACAAGCTAAATCCATAGTTTATAATACCTTATATAGGGCATCTTATGTGCCAGCCGGTGTATAATACCTATATTATTATATTTCATCTATGAAAAAGAACTGATACGAGTGCATGCTATATGACCATGATTCCAAGACTAAAAGAAGTCGTGTGCCAAGGCAAGACTTGAATTCGATGGCTTTTTGCCATCGATAGCCCCAAAACCTCTTCGCTGTCGTTTCCCAGCCCACACAGAAAACTGTAACCTGGGAGGACAGCCAACAAATCATCATGTCCAGCAGGTGACTTGACTTGGACGCTTGGACGCGGAGATAACACTTTATCGATTGCATAAGTACAAATGGTCGTCGGCCAGTCTGCTTTCTGCTGGCCAAGATGGCTCGCCGTGGCCAAAAAGCCAGACCAAGTGGCAGGCTTTGCGATTCCTGTTCGGGGACTTCGAGAGTGGGAAACAACGACTGCGACAAACCAACCGCCAACGAGAACCACGTCCGGTCGGCGGGCCAAGTGGATTACAAGCGCATGGGCTTCGACTTCTACTCCAACTTCCATTTCCATAACCACAGCCATTCATGCCCACTTGACAAAAACGCGAGAGAGCGCGAGCGGCTATCGATTCGACTAGAGAATGCCCTATATCAGCTTGGTACAAAATACTACACGTGTAGTAGCAAGAATACACATTGAAAACGGTTGGCCTTCTATATAAAAGGAATAATCTTATGGGTCATTACTTGATGCTTAAAATCGGCTGGCGTAGTTGGATTATAGCTATCTTTTCTGCTCTAGAAATCTGAACATTTGTTTTTAAGTCAAATTCCAAAAGTCCCATTTTCCCATTTGCCCTACGATAACAGGGTAGAAGGAGCAGGCAACAATTTCCTCCATTATTTATTGCAAATCAAAAGCCGCAGTTTGATATTTTCGCCGGTTCTTTGCGTTTCCCGCGTGGGCCGTCGCAGCTGCCAGGCCTCTGAATCGAAGAGGATTCAGCAAGGAGGCTTTGGGAAAGGAGGATGATGAGAAGGAGTAGGCAACCACAGAGCACAGCCCACATGGACTGGCCTATCTTTGAACTTCACTGGCGAAGTCAGCGTGTCGGATGATGGTCGCTCAATTGACCATCCCCATGTGTGACCCCTTCCAACCAGCACATGGCACAACTTCTGAACAACTGTTCCAAATCAACAAGTGCACCCCGTCTGAAATTTGTTTGGCCGCAGACAAAAGGCAATTTACAATTTGCAATTTGCATATTGCAGAAAATGCCAGAAAATGCCTGAAAATGCGGTGGCATGTCGTGTGCGCAGGCGCAACAGCAGCCAATGCAGCAGATGCCGCAAAAGCGAGGGAAACGCCATCTCAGGGGTGGCAAACTGCATGTTGGGGTTGCAACTGCAACTGCAACTGCCACTGCCACTGACGTCCTCAAATTGCTGAACTAATTGGGTAGCGTGGTATGCAGAACGTCGGATGACAGCAAAAACATTCACTTTTTAAAGCCACAAATTGGATGAGAGGGATGTTTCTCTAGCATATGCGATGGACAAGATACAGCTATAAGAAATAGAGAATTACATACTGGTGTTCTGTTTTCCCTTAAATATTAGTTGATTAAAACACAGGTTTTTTGTACATTTCAGTATGTGGTTTTCATATTCTCAGGAATATTGCTCAAACAATTAAGAAATCATTTATTCCCATTGCCTCTGATTCCGACGAATCCACTTGATCGTCAGCAATTTTTTTTACCCCAAATTTGTAAACAAAATCAAGAAAATAACAGAAGCAAGTTAAAACGCTGACGTTTGGTGGCCGGCATTTTTACATAATATTGACACAGAAAGACAAAGTGCTAATAGAAATAATAAACCAGGCAGGCGGCGTAGATTAAATCAATTACGAGTACGATGCAAGTGCAGTCGAGTAAAGAATTCCGCTGATTGGCATTGGTTTAAATGGCCAGTTTGTGGGGAAAAAATCAGAAGGAGGAGAGCAGGTGCAGCTGGAAAAAAGCAAACAAACGATAAACGATCCTAAAAACAAAAAAGCTGATCAGGCGAATACCTCGCTTTTTTGCGGACTGAGATTGGATCCAAGACAATTGACAGTTGCACAAACGAGATTTAATTGACAGACTCAATTTATGCAAACGGTGGCCATAAGACAAGTGCAGCGAGATTTGTGTATTTAGATTTGAATTTTACTACTTTTTTGGCCGTTTGATCTGGTTAGGAGTGGAGTCTAGAAAATGGCATCTAGACTGAAAGACTAAGACGGGAACTGAAACTAATGCGACTGTTAGTTCGGTTCTTTAAAATTGTACCTAACTTAAATAGTAAATCTAATACCAAATCTGTGAATAACTATATATTTCACCTACAACAAGCGGAAACAGCTTTTTATTTAGTATGTACTTGTATGCGAACTGTTATTACCATTATAAAAATATTTTTATGGCCTCCATTACAACAAAGTGGGCTGTAGGCTTATGATAATTTGTCGGACTAATCCTGGTTCCAGGAATCATAAATAAACACCTGCTTGTGAACCCTTTGAAGGGCTTCTCGTAATTTGCTCATTACCAGTTCGAAACGCTTTAAACTGTTTCGCGTTTTAATGGATGCTCACCTTAACCAGTGCATTAACCTGTTTGCCAATCTCCCTTTGCAGATCTCCAGTCCATCCGACGACTCCTGGAGCACGATGCCAGTGGATCCGTGTGCCCCTCCTGCCGCATATCCTTCGACAAGGGCAAAAGACGGAAACTGATCGACACCTGCGGCCACGAGCGGTGCTATTCCTGCATGTTCCGCAACGACCAGTGCCCCATGTGCATGAACAGCTCGTTGAAAGGTGAGTCCGCCATCCATCCACCATCCACCGTCCGGTATTCAGTATTCAGTATTCAATATCCAGTATTCAGTGTTCAGTATCCAGAGATATGCTGTTTCGCTGTGTATCTCGTCGCTTTTTGCGCATATCTCTCGGATATGCCATATGTGGCAGGCAAATATTTTGTTACATGTTGAGTGCAAAATGCCAGAGAAATTGCACTGCCGCCATAATAATGCCCGGTGTTTTGTTTCTCGTGATGTGGAAAAAATTCCGAAACAAATGGCTATTTAAGTGGTCGAAGATGCATCTTTAAAGTGGAGCGAAAAAGGGTGACTAAAATAATGATAGCCAATTGGTTTCAATTTCAAAATGTTATACCCAAGCGCTTCGCTTCCTAAAAAGTGTGCTAAATATATTGTGAAAAACGCTATCAACTTCTTCTGCGGAAGTGAAAGCCTTTTTATAAGTTAAATCTCTCACTAGACTTTTCCAAATATTTAGTTTTCAATTTGGCAACGGCCTGAAGATATAGGTACAAAATGAACACCCAAGAATTTGCATTTCCTGGCATTTTATTGTGCCATTCAAATAGCGGTTCAGGTTGCAAATGCAGCACTGAATATGTGATACCTGTTCTGGGCTTATTCACCATTTATTTCTGGTAAATTAATATTCAAAATGAGTACAAGTTGCTTAGCATGCAGAGTTCGTATTGTCGGTTAACTTCATAAAAATCAGAAGCCTGTGGTACAGTAGTCTGCACAAAGTGGGGACCTACTCCTACTGGTTACATGTCCATGAAAACCGAAAGTTAACTGCTGACACGATTCCATGGGTCCAACTCCCATCTTACCACTGGATTTATTAGCTGCCAATCGTACACGATCGTGTCACCTGCTTTGGGGCCTCTGCCTGTGAGAATTTACGATCGGTGTATTGCTTTTTATTTATGATGAGGGCTCTGCTTTATTTGCATACCTAATTAAGTGATACAGTTCGTAGTATGGAAATTACCTACAACCAGTTGTTGTTACGGCATTTAGATAGGATAATTATGTGGGACTTAAAGAGGCACTGGAAGAAATGGCTGCGAACCGGCCTTTTAACTTGTTCATTTTACAAAGTAAGGCTAGAAAATAATTGGAAACAAGATAGATACAACTTTAGCCTGGGGACATTTTTAAATTTCTAAAACATCATAACATCAGAAAAATTACAAAAAAAATAAACAAAAAAAATTTACAAATTTGAAACCAGATTTTCTAATCATTTCATTTCTAATAATTTTTTTAATGCAAATACGCCATATGCAGGTATTTTTGTTCGCTTTAATTGAAAGTCCAGCAGAGAAATCTAGCACGCTACTTTTCCCACCAGTTCAATAAAGATTCACGAACACCCGATGCCTTCTTGACCCACATCAGTCATCTTTGACCCAATGCATGTGGCAGGAAAAACTCTTTCTCAAGGGCCACATACATAAATGCATATGTGTGCCACTTTTCGGCCGACTTTTTGCACTCACACATTTCCACAATTAAACTTTGCATTTTTACCCCGAGTGCGTTTGTGCAAACATGTCTTGACTTGATTACTAACATCGTTTTGCATTTGTTTTGTCTTCGTTTCTACGTTTCCAACCCCACAGATGTTGATGGCGCCAACGCTCAGGGCTATGACACCGGAATCGGTGGCTCCACATCGACGATAGTGAGTCCTCTTGGATCCCCGCAACCGCAGCTCAGATCGCATGCGCAACGGAACGCGGCTCTGGCGCGCTACATGCAGGTGAGTGCGTACTCTAAGATACTTTTCGACATTCATAGTACTCAGGTGCAGCATCGGGCAAACAGTGGTGGAAAGTATCTGCTTGAATGAGCACATCCAATGGGTTTCCTCTGGTAAACTTGGGAGCCTAGGAATAATAAAATATATTTCTCGAACAATATCATAGGAGCTATTTTCAAAAGGCTTACCTCGATATCTTAGTAATTAAACTAGCATTTTAAAAACCTTTTTATTCCCTTTAGTCTATAACTTTCTTATAAAGTTGACTTTGCTATTTGCATTTAACTTATTTAAGTACCGAACCGTAAAAAACCGTACAATAATACTGTACCTCCTCCAAGCAAATTATTGGTATTTATCTTGTACCATACCCACGTAAAAGAAATAGTACCTTTTCATATTACTCACAGCATTTGAAGGTGGCGATGCTGGAGGGGCATCGGCGTCGTCTTTACTGTGTTTACTTTAATGGCCTCTTGATTATGCTGCCACTAGAGATGAAGAGACTCCATCAAAGAAATGGAGAAGTTGGGGGAAAAAAGAAAAGCTCATTTCTTCAACGCAGAAGAATGGAAAAGGGAAAGAAGCCTCTTTTGTAACTGGCGGTGAAGCGACCTTTTGATATTTCTGTTATATATGTATCTCATCGACTCCCATTTCCGTTCATCTTTTTCTAAGCGCCTCTTTTGTCGCCCATTTGGGCTATCAGCAGCGCCACTTTGACTCGATATCTGAAAAAAGAGTTCCCGTTCAACGAAATGTGGATGAAATCGTGGGCGAAACAAACCTTTGGGGCTCTAAAATTATGTCAAAGCGCATAGCGGATCGTAAAACGGTTTAATCTTCATTTAATCAAGTCATCAAAGAGTGTGAAACAATTTGTTTTATGTAAAATATAGTTCTAAGGAGTCGTTAAAGTTACAATCAATATTTTCTGGGTGGTACCAGAATGCTTTTAGGAAAATGCTCGTAAACCCAAATTTTAACTTGGAACTTTTCAATTACTATAAAAATAAAATGCACATAAAGGGATTTGAACATTCTCATGCGCCCACGTTATTAATGTTGAGTAAGTTATAGTACAATTTATGTATAGCTAACATTTATAGTGTAGTTGAAATCATCGAGCATTGTCAGTTTTATAAAACTCAACAATCTTCGGCCATAAATCTACAAAACAATTACAGCCATCACTTTCCTCTTAATTAAATGAATTTGATTTAACAATAACGATAATAACTCTTCCCACTGAACTGATCGACTGGTCGATTAAAGATCAACCATTGGTTGTATCGTAGATCACTGGCAGCTCCACCTCCTCCAACTCCTTCAACTCCTCCGCCGATCCTCTCCAATCTTTTCCATCGGGATCATCGCCGACCGACTGTCAGCAAATGTCACTTTAAATACGCCAAAACGGCGCAAAAGTTTCAATTGTCGGGCGCCGCTGGGAGCCAATTCTTGAGGATTGGGAATATCAGGGGGCCTTTGAGGATGGGGGGCTGGAGCAGATCGCCAGTGCCAGATAGCTTGTCTGGCAGGATGCAGTCGCCGCAGAAGTAGCTGCAGATACGCGAACCCGTAGTCGTATCTCATATCTGCGCTTGTGTATCTCAAAGCGACTGTCAAATGGTTAAACTGACAGTTTGTTTTTCCACCGCTCGCCGCCAGACGAAGTTGGGTAGCAGATTGTGGCAGGAGGAGCAGCATCTGTAGACCGGGAACTGTAGATCCGAACAGAGATGGAGATGGAGATGCATTGGCGATGGGGATGGGGATGGCGATGGAGGTAAACTGGGTCACTCCGGCGGACGACCGTCGCCTCAGGCTCCAAAACATCGTCCAGTGTCTTCTGCTTTCTAAGCCAGGCCAAAAGTACTCACTATGCACTAAGAAAAATGTAGAACGTTGTGGGGTTCACAACCAAATAAGACCAGAAAGACAAATGAATATATCCAAAATATTTTCGGATAAAAGAAAACCACATTTTGCACATCAGTTATGTCATTAAACAGATTTGCAATGTGAATACAAGCTGTGGAGATACAAATCTTTCAAAAGATTTCGGAAAAACGATTTAAATATTTTTGTTTATTTTTTCCTCTGTGTGTACTCGTATATATTTTTTTCTACTTTTTACAGCATATTTATTAAGACTCGCATTTGCTGAAGTATTTATTTCGCAGCGATTCTCAATTGATTTCGGTTTGGGGGCTGAGCTTCAGTTTTCAGTTTCGTTTTCAGTTTTCGGCTGGGCTTGTATATTTTCGGACCGCTCTCTGACACGTGACATGGGATTTCACTTAAGACTTTAATACTGGCACATAAGCAAACATAAACGTGCCAAGTCTTTTGGACACATGACATGGACATGGATGTAAATTTTTGGCCGCCGACTCTGATCCGACAGTCAAAAAGGACGGGCTAGACAAACAATGCTCCACAAGTCGGGGGAGATTGGCGGTGATCTCAAATCCGACGTGTAAATTGATTTCTAATTATTGTCATACTGTGGGGCCAAAAGATTTGATTTGAGTGTTCGCGAAAGTTGAAAAGTAATCATGGGATTTGCATTTATACGTTTTAGAGAAAGGATTTCTTTTCACAAGGCAGTTCTTGTTTAACAGGCCATTCAAATAAAGAGTTTATTAAATCAATGCAAGATTGGTAACTTTTACAGTATCCATGAAATGCATAGGACTGGCACCTCCCTAGATAACGCTTCGTAAACAAAGACCACATTTGTTACCTTCCCCAATTTGCCTGGACAAATCAACAACGCCATATAGCACCATCGATCGTAAAATCATAAAATCTTCGACACCTAAGTGCCATTAAGTCAAAATCCACAAACAAGTCGCAGTCTTTGAAATGCCCAAGAAAGAAAGTTTCCTTTTACAATCGCGACTGATTAATGCGACTCATAGCGATACTATTCGAATCGGTTTGGTTTGATTTGATTTCATTTGATTTGATTTTGAGATGAGTGCAGATGCGCCCGGAAAAACTTGCTCAATGACAGGCAATTGATGCGAATTGAGTTTATGGCCGGAGAATGAGTGCCACTTCACTGTTTTGGCCAGCGACAACTGGAGCGTCCGCCAAAGTGGCGGAGTTG